CCCCCCGCTGCCGCCGCCGCCGCCGCGTTTTCAAATCACCTCTGCTTTCCCCCGTTTCGTTTTCCACCTTCGTTTCGTATAGCCACATCGGAACTCGCCTATTCTTCACTTCTTTCTCCGTTACGGTGAACGCCTTGGAATTCCCTCCATTGGCCAACACTTTGCGCTGCTCTCTTCCCGCTTCGAATTCTCCACCGAAAGACCGATGTAACACACTTTTACTCGAACGAGTCTAGAATTCTTTTTTCTCCCCTCTCGATATCGTCTCGCTGTTCGAACAGTTCTCTCTCTCTCTCGAGAGAGAGATGCACAGAGGTAAAAAGAGTGTCTCGATTTGCACTTTGACTTTGTCCATTGGCAATAAGATATACGATCCTCGCTGCTGCAGCTGGCACTAACGTTTCCGTAATCGCATACATAACAAAGGGAGCAATCGCTTGCACAGAATTATAACGAGCACCAAGACCTTTCTCACACCAGGTCGATCCTTATACTACCTAACATACGCCCGTTTGGCCGACCATAATCCGTGTTTTACTACTTCTCTTGTTTCTGTGGTTTCATTTGTTCCTTTTTGTATTTTTTTTTTCTTTTTTTTTACGTAATTTCTGGTTGGTACCTCGAATCTAACAAAATTAAAAAAAAAAAAAACGTAAGCAAAGCAAAGAACTGTGTTTGTTGCAACAAGAACATTTTGGGGTGCGAAGTGTGCTCGCACGATTTCCTCCCGCGTGTTTCTTTTGGCTAAAAGATATAGAAGATTTGAGAGAAAAAAAGGCTTAAAATTCGCGAGCTTGTTTCTTCTTCATTTTTTTTTTCTTCTTAATTTTTCAAGTGACATCGGCTGTCGGGTAATCGCACCTGCTTTTTCGTACGCTTGCCGGGAAAAGATATCTACTGATCACGAACGGGTTGATTTTCGATGGCAACCGCATATTAGTTACGCCATTTAGCCTGCCGAGCAAGCCTTATCTTTCTCGAAAGAAATCGTTTCAGTAGATAACAACTTACTTCTCGCGAGAATCGGACTCGTCTCGCGATTTTCCCTGTTGGAAAGTAGCTTCGCCCGGGTACGTGACTCGATTATCTAATTCGGTCGACTCGTTAAAATTTCCTTCCCTACATTTTCCACGATTTACGTGTTTTCGAACGGCGCGAGGAGTGTGAAATTTGTAGAACACGTTCGTCGAAGAGAAACGGTTAAAGAGACCCGGAAAAGAGAGGATCGATTGGGAAAATCGCACGACGGCCGAGGCTCTCCTCGAGCGCATTGTTACAAGCACAGTTCGCACGGTCCTGGCACCTATACATATAATACTGTTACGATTGATTGGTCGTCTGTTCCTTGTTCTCTTCTACTCTCCATCACCTAACGATTCGTCTGATACACGAATTTCGTTCGACGAACCGTCCATCTTCGCCCGAATCACAAGTGTCTGCATCTAGATTCATCCGAAATTTTCCCACGAAATTCCTCCGCATGTTTGTCTCTCGTTCGGCTAGATCTTTCTTCGTTGTTCCTTTGACAAATTTCACTGTGTCGAGCAGGATGAACGGTTCGACGGACCGGGAGGGTGGTCGGCTGTTTGCTCTGGAGTTCAAGTCGCTCGGTTTCTATAAATTCACTCAGTTTTTTCTCTTGGCGCAGATGAAACGAAATTCTTAGAAGGCGACAGAGAGTGAGAGAGACATCGAATCAGACTTCACGCAAAGACACACGATTAGGGAGAGAGAAAGGGTGAAAAGAAATAGGAGAAAGTGAGAGAGTGAGAGAAAGAGAGAGAGAGAGAGTGTGTAGGTAAGGAGACAAAGAACAGAGGAGAGGAAGAAAAGACGAGAGAATATCACGAGACCTGGCTAAATTAAAGAAAGACAAAAGCCCCTTCCACGGCTGGGGCGTGTCCACTGATCTCAGCCTTTTGTGCTTTCTGTTCTGTGTTCACAGTGATGACGCGCCATGCCAGCGAAAAATGCGATCGCAATCGTAGATTCGTTCCCGAGGCTCGACGTATACGCTGCCTTTACGCGACCGTGTCAATCCGTTTCCCGTTCCTTCTTTCGTTTTTTTTTTGTTTTTGTTTTTTTTGTTGTCGTTGTTGTTTCACCGAGAGTGTGGACGAATGCGTGAGGTGAAGTGAAGTCTGAGAGATACTCGTTCGTTAGAAATCGACGAGCCCCGCCGGGGCGGTCGGCGTGTCATCCTTCGTTGCAACAAGCACAGGTCTCTTTCCTTTGAGAAGTTTCGAACGGAGAGAAAAAGAAAAGAAAGGAAATGCTTCGAACGAAGAGATTTTACACGTAGGATTGGGACATTGACTCGTCGATAGTGCAATATACTCATAATTATTACGTAGAATAATTTTATACGCCTTGGAACCTTGATTTTTCGACCCTTTTCTCACGCATCGCGTCGCTTTTCACGCGCTCGAAGGTGTGGAGAAACATCGAATTAACAAACCATCCAATTCTGGGACAGAAAGAAAGTATTTTTTTAACTGTCGAATTTTGACAGTTCGTTCGTTCCGATTCGAGATTATTCGCGTCTTCGAGCTCGTCCCTATAATTAGAGTTTCCCGAGTGTGCAATAAAGCTACTATATAGCAGGCCTTCCTTTAGGTGAGAAAAACAGGAGGTAGCTCGTTTATAGGTAGATTATAGAGTTGGTGGCAGTAAGTAGTGAATTAACCTGATCCAACCGTATCGCTGAAACACAGTCGATCATTCGTAGCCGATTGGAAAACCTTGTAGACTTTTTCTTCCGTGTAATCGAGTGCGTTTATCCAATAATAGCGGTTTACGAAGACGGTTGGCTAATGAGTCGATGTTTGAACGTAGGCAGCTTACGATATCCCGGGGAAGTTATTATACCGCAAGATACATATCGTAACGTATCGTATTGTGATGCGAATTGTTTTTCTTTTTTTCTTCGTATTTTCCTTTTTCGAAGAAGATCGTCGTTAGTAGACTCGATATCGTCCGTCACCTGGGGAATGTTTCACCGCGCGGTCAATCGTACTTCTTTGTTGTGTGTAACAGCACGCGATCAGCCATTCGTGTTACGGCTATCTATAGACTATCTGTGCTATGCAAATACATCCTCGAGGAACGCACCATGCGGTTTCTTGTCGCTCTCATATGGCTTTCGATACTTAATCTTAGAATATTTTCTGCGAGACACGTTCACACATACATCTAGCCGCCTCATAACACACATATATAGTCTCAACGTGTAAAGAATAATGCAGACGAAGGAATTCTTTACGGATGGACAAATCCTCGAGAAACATTTTCATGGCATGCATGGCTGCATGTAGAAGTTTCATTTTTATACGTGTATACTGGTCTTACACAGTAGTACGTGTGTGCGTTTATCATTACCTTTATTTCAATTTTTTTTTCATGTTTTTTGCGGGTCGATTGGCTGGGGTTTCCTGGGTGAATAGATAAAGAAAGAAAGAGAGGGAGAGAAAGAGAGAGCGTGAAAGAGAACGGATGAGAGATCTTCATATTTAGTTCGTTTGCAGAGTTCTAAATTATCCGCGTAGATTAGTAGAATAGGGCGCCGGCTCGTTGCATTGGCAGAATATAGAGAATGAAAGGATTTCTGCGATAGTTTCGCCACACTTTTGTTTCTCTCCTGTTCCCGTCGATCTCCGATCGTTGGAATCTTATCGTCGCGTGTCGCGTAGCTGACAAATCCTTTCATGCGCGTAACGGGATTCGAGTCGTTCTTTTTTTTCCTTTTGTGCAAAGAGAAAATATCATCGATATATCCCGATACGCGTGGCCAATTCAAACAGCCCGCGCCTTCGTAAAAATTCGGTATCTCGAGAGTACTTAAGAAAAAAAAAAAAAAGAAGCAAAGATTCTCTCTGTGCTGACAAAAAAGTGCGTAAAGTCGTAAAATGAAGGCGAGGCTTTAGTGACCAATGACACGCAATTTTGTCGCCACCTGCAGGGGATAAAGGCAGAGGGCTAAAAATCAATTGAAAAAAAAAAAATCGAAAAAAAATGACGCAGGGCAAGGCATTGGCTGGGGGGCCAGGCGCGGCGGGATGGATGCAACAACGCGAGGCAGTGCCGGAATTTCCGCCACTCCACGATTCAGCGGACTCTGATTCCGACCGAGAAAATGAAAAACGGCCGCGCGTCTAAAGTCACTTTTTTGGAATGAACGAGAATAGAGAATGGTAAATGAAACTGATCAAACAGAGAAAGAAAAAAGAAGGAAACACACACACATACACACACGCGCAGAGAAATAAAATCGATAGAAACGCGGCAACGAAACTAGAGAAAGGAATGAAAAAAAGAAAGACACGCAGGGTGTTTGTGTTGGGAAGAGAGAGAAAGAGAGGGAGAGAGAGAGAGAGGACGAGGAAACTAAAGTAAAAAGGTGTATACTACAAAGGGCTACAGAGGAACCACACCGTCACCCACGATCGACACACACACAGGCACACGTACTCTCGTCGGCACCACACACGCAGAAAAGCGAGAGACACAGGTACACACAGACACACACACATTGGCGAGATCTACGCGCGCACCTCCGAGCCACACACATGGAAATAATGTTCGTTGGTGTTCCTACGATTAATATTAACGTTAGTTTCCGGTTTTGAAACAATTTTTTCTCTTTTCCGATTAAGAGAGAAGGTCTGAGCGTGTATAGGAAGATGCGGCTTTAAACTTGTCGCGAACCAACCGATACTACGGTGGACGATTCCTCCGAAATAATCCTTGGAGAATTTTGACCACGAGGAAAGTACTATCTATTCAATGTGCGATCTAACGGATCGCGCGCTAAATATATATGTATATATACATATATATATATAGAGAGAGAGAGAGAGAAAGAGAGAGAAAACGATTTTTATCGTAACCCGTGCTCGCATCTTCTTCTTCGCTTCTCTGTCCTTCGATCTTGATACTTAATCTTGCCTTATCGAGTGACTGTGCACGAGCATCGACGTCACACGTATTTACAAAGGATTTAAAGAGCGAAAAGTGGAAGAGGAATAGAAAACTAAGGAAAAAAAGACGGGAGGAACGAGAGAGAGGGAGAGAGAGTGAGAGTGAGAGAGAGTGAAAAGGACGGCGAACGATAAGAATCCGTATAGGGCAATGTGCTCCTAAGAACGTAGGTTCGCTTCTCTTAAGACAATACGGCGGCGTACAGGCGCCTAGCTAAGGAGAGAGAGGGAGAGAGCGTATACAATCAACTAGTTTTTATTTTCACGTATGCTATATTGTACACTAAAAAATAACAAACACACACGCACACGTACACACACACAACAGAATCACATAGATAGATTTAGCTTGTACAGATATTTTTATTCTTTCCCGCCCCCTCTATCTACCCCCTTAACCTATAATGTATTTTCTTCGAGTTCTCTTCACGATATTTTATTTTAAACACTTGACCACGTCTTCTTCTTTTTTTTCTTTTTTCTCTTTGCAATAACTTTTTAACGTCGTGTTATGTATATCCCTCCACTGTAACTGCGTAGCGTAATTTTTACGACGCTAATCTCTTGACGAGATAAAGTTACACGAGAACCACTTGTATTTTTGTCGTAGGCAGCTTTAGCGGTTTCGAGACGATTCTTTTTTAAATCTAACCCCAGCGACCATCCGTGTATCGTGTAATGCTAGCGAATGTTTCCTACGTTCGATTATGGTTTAAGTTCCGTGTTTTAAGTTTAGCTTTCCGAATTATACATTTTTTTTTCTTTGCAGCGATTGCGTTGACAATGTTTGCGTGCTGATTTGTTCCATACCGTTCGAACGCGCGAGGACACCAATTCCCTGTTTTTCTTTTATTTTTTAACCAAAACGAGCGACGAACATACTTTTGTTCCAAAAGATTTTTTACCTACGTTGTACTATTTATTCCCCTCCTCCCCCCTTGAATTTGCGTGTACGAACATGGTTTCTCCAGGTGTCCTCGCTGTGGAAACCCTACTATCTCGTACCAGACCCCCTCTGTTGTGTTGGAAAAATTGTGTGCATGATTGTACCCACGAGCGAACCGAGAAACTCAAAAGCCGTTCCCCATTCTTCTTTTATTTCGTCTTCTTTTTTTTTTCTTTTTTTGTAATCAAACGATTCAGCACGAGATCTTGCTATTAAAAAAAAAAAAAAAGAAAAGACTATTCATTTCCTTGTACATCTTTTTTTCTGTTTCTGTTCATTTCAACACCCGAACACACACTCGTAGTGTCGAGCCCAGGCAGTTTTCTCAACGAGTCTCGAGAATGATTAGAAGGAGATCCGTGTGAAATTTCGTAGACATCGCCTTGTGCTCTTTTTGTTTTTTTTTTTTTCTCCTCTGGAATAGTTGTAACTTTCGAATAAAGCGACCCCGCGAGGAGGAAACGCGATTGGACTGGGTTCGACACTTGAAATATACGATTGCACCTGTCTACCCTTAGTTGGTCGTACGTACGTAGGTACATATGTATTGTGTATACGTATACATGTGTATAAAAATATATATTCTATACTTTCGTATCTGTATAACTCGTCTGTCACCATGATACGATGATAACTTTCTACCATGAACTGGGCAGAAACGTAAGGATTGCGTTCCGACCAAGTTTTTCCGCTCGACCGTACGTGTGCATGAATAGTCGCCGTAAAAGGGTGCGAATCCTGTATTGAAAACGTTGCAACAACGTTACAACGAATCTCCGTTGAATTTCTTTGAATTATTCCAAGTAAAAAAGAGAAAAAGAAGAAAATCGAGCATTGGAAATGAACGAAGTTCGAGTAGAGAAAAGAAAGAAAGAAAGAAAAAAAAAAACAGAGGAGAATATTAGCACTTTTTCGCGCGACTGTGATCACGCTCGCGTACACGGCCGGTACTGTTTGCTTTCAGGAGCTGTCGCCTTGAAATTCTTAGAGGAATCGCAAAGAAGATACGCGAAACAGACAATTACGAGATCGAAATTACGATGTAGAAACGCATATAATGTATAAGATGTATCGTGAAAATGCTCGCGCAATCCGATCACCTCACTATCTGTGATCCGAGGCCCGGCCTTAACCTGCCGGGTAATACGAACTAAAAAAAAAAAAAAATCGATATTAAGCTATTAATGTTATGTAATACCGACGACGTTCTCTAAAGGCGAGAAGCGTTCACGTTCTTAAGCGACGTGCAAAGAGAAAAAAAAAAAAAAAATTATACGCCATCGTGATTTCAGCGAGGGATCTCTGTTTTACCGATCGAGGGCTGCCAGACGGTGCATCCCCGCGTCGTATGAATTAAGCGAAAGGGGGTCATTTTTAGCCGTGCGAAAAAGAAGAAGCGACTACGAACGCGTGGAACCCTGTTCCTGGTCTTTCTTCTTTTTTTTTTTTTTTTTTAACTTTCCTCTTCTACTTCTTCCTCCACCTCCTCCTCATCCTTATCGCCCTCCTCTTCTTCTACGATTTCTCTTTCTCTTTTTGTTCGGCGCTGTTGTTCGATAATCAAGCGTGAACGCTTCTATGCATCGACGCCACCTTTTCCCCTCTCAGCGAGACCCATCGAGCGAAGATAGCCGAAACGAAAAGACAGGTAAACAAAAA